GGAGCCACTGAAATTCCTCTCTTAAAGCCAGCATGCAGCAAAGGCAGACTCCCTGTGCTCATTACCTTTCCATCACAGACCAGCTGCTGTGGAGTCATTCATCACGATTACAAATCCGCCCGGTGCAGGTAGCCCACAGCTCCACCATCAGCTCCACCATCAGCCTGTGAGATGCACAGCCCTGAGCCATCAGTCCCTACGGGCAGAGTGTGAGATTTACACCCCAACAGGTGATAGTAGTGGACAGCGCCAGGCAGCTTTTGTTATGAGGGAAAAACTCATTTTGAAATCCTGGCTGAAATTCTGCTGTCCCCGCAACCAGGATGGAGACCATTTGATAATAAAATAGGGTTTTTCTGATGTTGTGCTGGTGTTATGATATCTACAATATCAGAATCAGCTTTATTGGCAAAGAATGAGTAAACATACAAGGAATTTGACTCTATTTTGTACTTACAGAGAAATAAAAATACAGCTAAAAACCATAACTCATGTTTAAGTAAACATAAACATTAAGCTATTTTGTACATGTCAGTAGGATAACTAATATATAAACAAAACAACAATGAGCAATACAACTTCTTTAAGTCAGAAGATTCTTGGTCAAATTGTAAAGAAAATAATACAGTAAAATCATTATCACAAAATTGTTAAAACACCTTGGAGACAGCATTTGCAAGTGCTGTACGCAAATATATAAAGGAAAGGGAAACACATTGTCTTTCAGAAATTAGAATCACGCTAACCTTGTCTAAATTGCCATTATTTCCTGGTTTGACCGCAGCTAAGCAAAAGCCAAGAATTTCCATCTTTGAATAGTCCCCTGGTCCCACAGTTAAGCCAAGGTCTACTCAGAAGGTGTTTCTTAATGTTAATGGTGACGGATAGATAGGGCCACTTCCTTCCTACACAAGTCTTAGAATAACATTTAAATGTCTCAAAATGATTTATCTATTTGTTTTTTATTTTATTTAGAAGTAGAAATGTCTAAATAAAAAATGTACTTCTATTGTATGATATATATATTGTTTTAATATATAAAAAAATATATAATAATAACATTGTTTATGTTTTTTTCATGGGATTTGTTCGCAATAAGAAATGATCTCCGGACTCACCATAAGTCTTGTGAGAACCTGTGTTTTAACTAGAACATCACCCTTATTTTATTTATTTTTATGTTTTTATTGCACTATAATATTAAAAACTGTACCTGAAAGTACCTGCATTTTGTACACATTTACATTAATTCATACCTATAATGTTAATAGTTATAATGATGTTGCTGCTGCTGGTCTGGTTAATTTATAAAGAAAATCTGTACAAGGGCCCTGAGGGGAAAATTAGCTATATATATTATATTCTTCACGTGGATAAGAACAAAGTATAAGTAAGAAGTGCAAGGACAAAAGATGTAGAAAATAATTTCAGAGTGTAAACAACGGTTAGATTTGTGAATGAACGTTGTTGTTGTGATCAATATCAATAAAGTTTCTGTGAAATGACCTTTCACTGTCATCATCCGGGTCTCTACACACGTCACTTCGCGCAAGCGCACTCTTCAACTGTGGTTCGTCCTCTGCAGTCGGTAAGTGTGTAATGGCAGATTGAATGAGAAGCCTACTTCTACAAATCCCTTTTCATCCTCTCTCCTAACTCCACTTTGTAGCGCGCAAGTGAGGATAGCATGCAGAATGGATGTGAATGTACATATGAGTGGCTTTATTTTCTTTGTGGAGCATTTTTACACCCGTTTGACCTTACTTCTCTCGTCTTCCCACAGAGACCCGGGCTTTAACCATATTTGACCAAACCGGTTAATACTACTAAAACAGAAACATGTACGCCTGTGCAAAGTTCGTCTCCACGCCGGCCATGGTGAGTTTGCATTTTCATGTGTTTTCATTGAATTCTCCTTTCCTAATTCCGTTAATGAATCCGGTGGGCCTCTGTCTGAACTTGAGTGTAGCTCACTGACAAGGGTATGCAGCCTAGGCCAACAGGCTAGTGAGCTAATGCTAAAGCACAGAATGACTGACAGACGTTTTAATCTGTGCCAATGTTGTCATCGTAATCATGAATGCTATGCAATGGTGCATTCAAGGTGTCTTTGGAAATCTGCCTCTGTCTGTGCTTTAGCATGTAGCATACATATTTAGTCATGGCCGTTAGCTAAGGTCATTGCAAGCCTCTGCTAGCTGGATTTAGTGCACAGTTCCCAAGAATCTCGTACATATGGATGTGCAATTGATAAACTATCACTTTGTGTATTCCAGCTTTGGTTGCTTCCAAATAGATATAGCCCTATGCTTTAAATCCTCCTCCAAGGTCACAATTAGGTTTCTAGTAGCTTTAGCAGACTAGGTGGTTTGAATTACAACAGGGCAGTTGTTCAGTAAGCTTGCTATTTGTGTTTAATGTATCTGGCTACTGGCTCAGATGAACAAAAACTTCATTTTCAAAGCAAAGCACAGACTGTACTCTTAAACCTTTAAAGGCCACAGGTCATGTAGTGTTTGCACTGCATTGAATGACACTGGAGTTGACAAAGTGACTTCAAGGTGCTTTCAACTTGCTCAGACTGAGAATGGATACCAAACATATGTTTCATTAAGCTTACATGTGTGTTGTGTCTCTAAACTAAAGTGTGTCTGTGTTGTTGCTGCAGCTCCGCGCTGGTTCCCGGGCTCTTTACAGACCCCTCTCTGCCTCAGTGCTGTCCAGGCCTGAGCTCAAAACAGAGGTAAGAAGAAAAACATGCTCTCTACTGGGACTGCAATTATCTTTTAGTTATTTTAAACTATACTGATTGCTTTTAGTCATTTCCTTCATGAAAGAATGTTAAAATGTTGAGACCACAATGTAGCAGCTTCGAATTAGTCTGACCCAACTTGTTGTTCAACTATCAGTCTTTCAGAGTTTTTGATATTCTTTTTTAATCTGAAATGAAGAAAAGTATGAAGCATTGTTATGAAAAAAGAGTTGTTGAATACAGACTTTAATTTGGTCATTTTTGATTAATCAATTATTCCTACCACTTATATTTGCTTCAGTACTGTTTGCATGTCAACCGACTTCATTGTCATATCTACTGCCGTTGGTTTTAAAATGTAATTAAAGAGTATTTTGTCTTTTCTTGCTCCAGAGCTCTGTTGCTCTGATGCCACAGAGCCCCCTCTCCCTGGCCACACTGAGGGGCTTCCAGACCAGCGCTGTCAGCCGGGACATTGACACCGCTGCCAAGTTCATCGGAGCTGGAGCCGCCACAGTCGGAGTCGCTGGATCCGGAGCTGGAATTGGGACCGTGTTCGGCAGTCTCATTATCGGCTATGCTAGGTTTGTTCTTGCAGACATGCATCCCAAAAACATTTATCTTGGATTATTAGATTTCTGGTGAATGCTTTTGTTTTTCCATTGAGGCATTGACAGTCTTCTCTTGTTTGCAGGAACCCATCTCTGAAGCAGCAGCTGTTCTCATATGCCATCCTGGGATTTGCTCTGTCTGAAGCCATGGGACTGTTCTGTTTGATGGTCGCTTTCCTTATCCTGTTCGCTATGTAAAACTCTGCTGTCAAACAACACTTTCATTACAAATGTGACTACATATTTTATTGTGGCAACCAAAATTGTTCCGTGTTGGTGTCCATGGAAATGTACATTTTCAAGTCTTTCAGACACTGTCAAAATAAGCAGAGCATGTATTGTACAAATGTAAGAAATTACGTCATTAAAATACATGTATTTGACTATTTAACAATGGCATTACAACTTTTATGTCTGGAATTTCAAGCTAGCAAAGTAGAGGGCAGTGTGCTTTTTTGAATGTCATCCTTTCTGTGAAGCAGCTGCTCGCCATGAATCAGCTTTGTTTTCTCAGCACATCACATGCAAGCTTTGGGGTCCACCTTCATTATTTCTTGGTACAGATGCAGGTATACAGTACTGTATTTAAGGCAGCACGTGAGTGCTTGCTGTTGTAAATGTAAATTAAATAAATCTAGATGGTTTAATTACTATGGGTTTTGACTTTTTTCAATATCATGAAAGTCACTGCTGGGTTTTGTTTTTTGCTAACTTCAAGTTGTTCATGAAGCAAATATGCCAAACATTGGAGTTTTTTTTTATAATTTTCTTTCATATTTGCTATTTTGGAAATGCTGGTGGGCTTTTTATTTACAATGTTTTAGTTTTACTAAACTGAAGAATTACAAAGTGACTAGGCTGTGAGATTTAATAGCAAACATTTATGTACTATTTTCATAATTAATAACCCTGAAAAGTAGCCTTATGGAAAACAAATGTAAAGTCTTCTATTGAAAGCTACAGTATATGCAAAAAGGTAATATTTATCCCAAATTCACATGTAAATATTCCAGGACTAGGGATGCTAAAATTCAAAATTAACAAAGGCTTTTATTTAAAATGAAATATATCAAGAATCTTCTAGGTGCACAGAAGCCAAAATAGGAGTCTCCAACATGACCTCAGGTGACAACTTAAAGCCTCCATCCATTCCAGCAGAATGTATACATCAAAACTTGCTTGGATGGCATCTTTAAATTATTTTATGTTCAAAAACTGCACAACATTTTTATTTTTAAATAACTTTTTGGGGACAATTATACAAATGTGCACTACCTATACAACTGTAGTCTACACTGCAAACATGCCAGGGTGACTAATGTTCTATTAATTAATTGTGAATTTAATTCCTACTATCTTGCACCACCTAGCAGATTTTCTAGTTTCTCCAAGCAAATCTTCTTCTGAAAAGAAAGGCATGCTTTTTACAATTAAAATAAATAAGAGCGCATAAACGATCGACCATACCAATTAAATGACTAAATAAAGGAAAAAGAAGTCTTAAACATTGCTATTATCCATGGAACATAACACTGTCTGTGTGACGTTAACGGAAGAGCACAAGCTGCTCTCGCGATACTTGAGTACAGACGTGGGGATTTGGAAATCCAGGGTTGTGGCTGTGGGGTAAGTGACCATTTAAACTCATAGCGAATGGGTACAAAGCGGTTGTAAAAGGCATCGTTTGTGGCTCTGCGAAGGACTTATGCTCCGGTACAATAAAACGACCTCGAAACAACCATTGACATCCCCTCTGTTTACTGAGATATTTAGGTCTAAACATGGCGACGCTTGTATGTTATCGCTTGGCTCGGGTTATTGCATGGAAGCGACGAGAGCAGATTATCTCACCCTGTTATTGTTTGTTTGTGTTGCGCTTTCTCATTATATTTTACATCATATTTTTGCCAAAGCTGCAGCTGGTTATAGCTGAAGAAGTCGTCCTCAGCAGGACAATAATGAGAGGACCGTGTTTTATGATGACACTGAGGTGTAAACAAGCAAAGCAGCCGCCCATCATCGATAGGCTTTGTCCACATCTCCAGATGTTCTCTCTCAGGACTTTTACCCAAACAGTGCCTTATCGTCAATCAAACATTATTAATAAAATATCTGTTATAACCTCAATGTTTATTTACATCTTGAATGATTCACAGTTCGATTTCTAAACAGTTAACCTTACATTAATGCACGTCTATACGTCTAAGATTTTGCTTTTTGCTATACTTGTTTTATTTCAGGGTGACACAACAGGAAAACCCTTAATATGAGTGATGACAAACCTTTCCAATGTACTGCTCCTGGCTGTGGACAGGTAAGTCCTCTCAGTTTTCACACATGTCACTTTGAGTCCCTGTCTCAAATTACCCTTAAAGGTAATTTGTTGGACTATAGCTGTTTTCAACAGTTACAAAGTACTTAACTGAACAGGTTGAAAGACTACACTGTGAAGATAATAACACAAAAACATAAATTAAAACAAAGAAATTGAACATAAATAACAGATTGTTTACTTAAAACAGGTAAAGTAAAGCAGTAAAAGAAGGATGAAAACTTGTATGACAACAGACTTACTCTAATGAGCTGTATTTCTCTAGACGAAATGTTAGAAATACCTGAAGCACACTTTTATTATCAAATGTATGCTTTGTCTTAATTCGACTATTGAAAATAAATATGTTTGAATATGACACTTGCAACCAAGAGAAGACATGACGTTTGTGTTACAGACCATATATATTGATCCTGTTTCGCTGTTCTGTCTGTTTTTTTGTTTTGACCATACATAGAGATTTACAAATGAAGATCACTTGGCTGTCCACAAACACAAACATGAGATGACCCTGAAGTTTGGTCCAGCAAGGAATGAAAGTGTCATCATTGCTGGTAAGTGCTCTGGTAATGTCCAGATATCTTAACTTAAATGATGCTTTACAAGTATGTGTAGTAATGGTTTTATTCTATTGCAGACCAAACACCGACACCCACCCGTTTTTTAAAGAACTGCGAGGAGGTCGGACTCTTCAATGAACTTGCAAGTCCGTTCGACCATGACTTCAAAAAAGCAGCTGAAGATGACATTAAAAAGGTTGTTTTTGGTATCGAACTATAAGCATATCATGAACTACTGTTTGTCTGATGGTGAGCATTTATACCACTGATCTGTTTTATTTAGATGATTTTACTCATGTTTCTGTAGTTACCATTGGATTTGTCACCTCTTGCAACGCCTATCATGCGCAACAAAGCTGAGGAACTCACAGCTATGGAAGCACATCGAGATAGCCCTCTGCCTCACCCCGAATCTACGACGAACGATGACGTGAAGGTAAAGCCTTCGAAAAAACAGTTTGGAGTATTTGTGCTTATCAAAGAGAGTTAATAGGGCTTAGATGAAGAGTGAATAACAGCTGATCTCCTGCTTTAATGTTCATCTAATTTTCTCCTGATCAATCAACTGGTATGAATGTTAATTTTGACTCAACTTTCAAAGGTAAGACTTTCATGAAAAATGGCTGACAGTACTGCACAAAATGATTATGTATACATGTTCATTAGAGATATTGGATTGACTTAAACTAAGAAGCTTTTTCCCTCTATTTAGTTCTATTTTATTTTCTGATATTGTAAAGAATACTATGGCAGAGTATTGCTGCAACGTCAGAAAAAGACAAATTCACTATAATGTGAACAGTTTGTCCTAACAATATATATTGTAGCTGTAACTGGATACAAGCATATCACGTCAGCATATCACGTCAGAATGTATGTTGTAAAAATGAAAATTATAACTTAATATAATGTAAACAATTATTGTTTTAACAATAAATGTTATTGTTGAACTATCCCTTTTAATCTTATACTGGCATGGCAGCAATACAATTCTATCCAAATGGGTAATTTTGACCTCATTTTATAATAATTTGAAGTAACTTACTTTTTCAATACTTCCTGCAGCTAAGGTCTTGTATGGTGTTCACAGGATTTATCTTTGCAGCCATCCTCACTGCCAACCTCCACTATAGTCCACCCTGCATCCCTCCAAGTTCCCAATGTACTTCTAGCAACCTCAGAGGCTAGTGTTGTAATTCAGCAAGATCTCCCGTCACCAACATCTAGCTCTGTTATTACCCAAGTCCCATCCACTAATAGGCCTGTAGTGTAAGTAACTCCTAACGTCCATTTTTTTTAAATCATAGTTTTTTTAAGTCATCTTTTTTTAATGTATTCATATTTGTGCATTTTTGTCTTGGTGAGCTCATGATTTATGAGGCATGACTGTTTTTGTATTATTTATTTATTCACACTGTGCCGGAATTGTAACGTTTGGCTGTAGACCTTATTATTTCCGTCTTTAGAAATAACATCAGCATTGCTCAGATATGGACTTACAGCTCAGTGTATAGCTTCAGGTCAATTTCTGAATGGTGGAAACAAATATTTCCCCAATCAAAATCTTTGAATAGAAAAACTTTATTAAGCCCTCATATAGGATTGTGTGGTTTAAAGAGCCCTCCTTTGAACAAAGATACAATAAAATATGAGTACTGTCGTACAACACCGACAATGTTCAATAAATACATTGAAATTAATAGCTTTTGTTAAAAAAGCGGTTAAAAAATATGCTTTTGAAGCGATTTATGGATATGGATTTGCTAGAGTCTCCCTTGGCCTTAAATTCAACAATTAATGAATGGACAAAGCTACAATGGCCGATCCCACCCATTCTGCCTGTAAAATATGCTTCAAATCCAAATACATCGGTAAAATACATCCTGTATTTACGTATACAGAACTAACAACATTTAAACACTGTTAGTTTAGTGGAAGCTGATTGGTTTGACCCGACCAGAAGTCCATATCTGTGCAACACTGACACTGATCACCTATGGGGTCTGGTGTGGTGACAAAATATGTGTTCTCATATTACTGTGTATTTTGTGTTGAACATTGTTTTGCTTTGTTTCCGTAAGATGTTGCCTGTTTGTGACATATTGTTGTTGTATAAGTAGCCATTGTGGTCTTTAGTTTTGGATTCTGTTTTGAGTGTTTATCACAAAGTTGTGAGTTATTCTCCTCACTTGGATTTATTTTCTCCCCCCCTCAGCCCGGTGTCCGGCACCTTCCCTGTGCTCCTACAGCTGCCTAACGGCCAGACCATGCCAGTTGCTATACCTGCGTCTATTACAAGCTCAAGTATACATATTCCAACTACAATCCCTGTGAGTATGCTGTTGCTATTTTTGTGTGTTTGAGTTACAACCAAAGTTTGAAAATGTTTGTTTCTGATCATTTAGTGAGTACTAATCAGAATTAGGAATGCATACAGTGACCTTTACTCACTGACCAAATAGCAATGTCACTAACAAATGTGTGTTGATGACCTCAAGGTCCATTTAGTATCTGTTCTAGATCTTTCCAGCTCTACAACTAAGAGTGTGGATTTACATAATGGATTGTAGGAACATTTGACCTACTGATACTTTGGGAGGACAGAATCCCTACACATATTTAAGCGAGCTTATTCGCTTTTCTAGATCACCTGTTGACCAGCACATTCTGGCTGAATCTGGTGTCTTTCCACCATTGTTTACATTATAGCACATAAATGTCGTCCATGCCAATGCATTTTATACTTTATAATGCCCCCTATAATTAGAAAAATACTTAAACTTGTAGGACTACTGATTATAAAAATCTTTGTTTTAGATGTCATTTCTTTCTATAATGATATTGAAGCTAAACCTACCCTTCAGAACAACCACTTAATGCACCTTGATGCTTTGCCAGACACAAGCTCACTGTGTGTCACCCACTTTACAAATAAAAAAAACATGGTAGGGACAATTGTGCACATTAGTACAATTAAAGTTCTTCCTTTAGTGATACTCTTATGCTGTAGTTATACACTACTATCACATATTTTCTACTTGGACCGAGGGATTATTTACAAATGTGGCCCCTCAGATTTGGCAGTGAAGTGAGAGCTGTAGAGAAGTAATGGAGTTCAGAGCAGGACTGTGTGTCACCGTGGCAAAGACACGAGGTTTGGCTGAGGCATAGCCGGCTCTAGTCCAGGACACTTCACTGCTATTTGTCCTTGTACAATTACAATCAACGCTCTTGATTTTTGGCAGAACAGATAGATGACACTACTAACATGTTTCACAAACCAATTGCATACAACCCATGACAGTGTCCCATATTGGAAATGTGTTATAAGCGAAGGTCTTGTTGCTGTTTTTTTTTTTTTTCAAACGTCCCCCATGTGGAAGCTTGTCTTGTTGTTCGCTGCAGTCCTGATTGTCTGTGTGGAACACTGAGCAGCAGATGATTATCTCCTGATAGCAGCACAGCGGGGAAAAAACCTCTCTCTTCCCAGTCTGTGGGGATTGGGAAAGCCGTTGACAAGTAAAGGAGGGCAAAAGTAGATGGAGAACACGAGCCACCACTGGGCCTTCCTTTCACTCGATCATCTCCCCCTCCTCCTTTCTCCCCTCCTCCCTCTGTCTCATTGTCAGCGGTTGTGAGAGGAGGCCCGGCCCTGGCCTTCCGACTCGTGTCTCTCCATCCCCTCCTCAGCTTCCCTGCCCATATGCTCTCACGCAGGCAGGCAGAGGTTCATTAGCGTGCACACGGCATCTCCATGTGGCGCTTCCTCTACAAAATAACAGGCCATCCAACCTAATGAGGCTGAGATATGAGGAAACTCTGAGAGCCTGCCGCAGCTGTGTGTGTGTGTGTGTGTGTGTATTTGTTGTGTGTGAGCGCCGCCTGCCTTTTAACAGCCAAAGACACATTTTCTCCATGCTGATCTGTCTGTGTGTCTCTGCCGTCAGCTTGTCAGACCTGTCACCATAGTGCCTAACGTCCCCGGGATCCCAGGACCCCCCTCGCCACAGCCACAGCCCGTCCAATCAGAAGCAAAGCTGGTATTAATTATCTCTTCTCTTACATCAAATACCATTTTCATGTTGAGTCTGTTATTTCCCATCTGAGAGATAAAATAACAGCCAAAGTAATGAGGGAGCTTGATGAGAAGCGACCTTTCTTTGACCAGATGAGGGCGCTAGTGACAGGTTGGGTCTGTAGTATTACACTAACTGGGATTTTTACATTTTTATTATTTTATACCTTTTAACAATAGACTTTCCATCTGGATTAAGGATGTTGTATTTCTTTGAATCGATTCATTTTTACTGGTTTATAGCAAAAGCTTAGCTGATTAACTGACTATTTGTTCGAAAAAATAATGGGTTAATAATCGTTGTCATTGTAGATTTGCTGTTACAATAATATTAATAATATTAATAATAACATTCATTAATAACTTCATTTTCCTATCACCTTTCATGCAAAAAAAATGAAGAATAACACATTACAATAAGTACAACTACGTATTGAAACATGTGCTTTTTCTTCTTTGTTATATGTGAAACTAACCTGACTATCCTTAGGTTTTGTCTGTTTGAGGCAATATTTTATTTACGCGTTATCCAATCCTCTTTAAGTCCCATTCTTATGAACACCTTATTTTATGAACGCTTTGAAGGATTTCTTTTTTATTTGGCACAAGTGTCTCGATGATGAACTGATTAGAATTGATTTGGTGGTTAAAGGTCAAAGGTCATCCCCATACAACACATTTTTGGCCATAAATCAAGAATTGACGTTCTAATTTTGACAATTTCATACAGTGGATTAAATGATGATAATGATTTTGGACAGAAATGCATTTAAACTGCATTTTTACTGCTTGTCAAAGTAACTATTGTTCACTAATTTGAGACATTCCATTGACAAAACGATTAAATTAATTCAGAAAATAAAAAATACTCACAAAACTGATTGGATAATCATATAAAAACAGAACGCCCCGCCTCAAAAACATTCCAAATATCTCTCTGTGGGCAGAGGATGGTCATAGACCTGCTGTTTCTAAAGTGAGTTGAAGGGCAGGGATATGGAGTGTAGAGAGGGGGATCAGTGGCAAAGTGATGGAGCACAGATCACAGGACCTGTAAGTGTTCGCAGCGTGCTCCGCCTGTGGAAATTAACAGATACACTGCGGAGAGGAGGTGTGTGTGTGTGTGTGTGTGTGTGTGTGTGTGTTGTAGGGGAGGATTGATCCTGACTCGAGAGGAAGGAGTGAAGGAAGGGGGAGGCGAGGAGGTTGTCGGGGATCATGGGGTACGGAGATGACAAACGTGGAGACAGCGTTGTGCTCAGCACGCCGTCACCGGGGCCAACCGGGGGGGGGGCTACCAGCGAGAGCCAGCTGGGGGCATCCTGGCACACGCTCAGCGAGGCACATTAAGTCGGCCTCACCCTGCATGGAACCTTTTGTTCAGCAGAATCCTGCCTGACCTGCCCCCCCCCCCCCCCCCCCCCCCCCTCTCACTCGCGGCGCCTCCCACCGCACCCAGCTCATCAGCAAACACCTAATGAGCCCGCGTCAAGAAAACAGACCCCCGCTCAACCTGCCCGCTCCCCGCCCCCCCACCCGACTCTCGGGGGGCGCGGAGACGGCACTTTACAAGGACTGATGATGCTGCAAAGACCACAATAATGATAATTAACTTGCTGAATTTAGAAGATTATGCTGTTAATTAGTTGCAAAATAAAGATAAGTAATATAGTAGCAGATGGTTGAATAACACCCATGAGATGGAGGGTTATTACACTGATGAGGTTTCCGTGGCAGAGATGAAATATGGATCCGACTGGCTTTCCCCTCTTTCTATGGGCCATTCCAAGAGAATAATATCTTGTTTCTGCCAGAAGAGCTTCTGGAAGGGTATTACACGATAAACTAATTTGGTAGATAGATTGGTCTGGCAAAGGTAGTTGTTAGAATAATGTGGTCCTCTGTTTTCTCATGTAAATGTATTCCCTCTCACTTTGTTATTGCCTCGAAAGGCTCATTCACTTTCACCTTGTTTGCTCAGTGTTTGATACTAGAGGAATTGGCCTGTGAGTCATGGACACCAATCTGTAGGGAAGTAGTTTCTGTGAATGTGGCGCGATTGTGTTTGGCATATTCAATCCTAGTCCATGTTCAGAAATATACATGTTTTGATAGTTTGGGTCAAATTATGTACCGTGGATCCCCATCCCATTCTTTCATCAGTAGGGCTGCCCCCTCTTAGACGATTTGTAATCTATTGTTGACTAAAATGTCTTTATCTAGATTGTTTTTCATGCTTTTTTACAGGTAAAATTATATATATATTGTGAAAACACATGTCTTATCTGCCACTGAAAATGGATTTTAAACATATTAACTTTATATAACTTATTGAGATATATGAAAAATAGCAACAAAAAAAGACTGTTTTTCATGATTCTTTTCCCAGAAACTGAAACCCACACTAAGCCAGCTGCCTCCTCAGGTTACCAATGGAAATGTTGGTGAAGTCCAGAGCAGCGCTGTCACCCACTCTCCTGCTCCCCCTTCCCCTGCCCCGGCAACCCCCACCCCATCTCCCTCCCCGATGGCGGTCCTGAGTCCGGCTCCTCTCCTGCTCTCGGCTGAGGAACCTTCTGCCCTCTCCCTTCAGCAGCCAGCCACCTCCACCACAGAGACCCCTGTGAGTATCCACACCTGCAGCAGACACACACTTTTGCTCAATGAGTGTTTCACAAGAGCTTCATAGAAGAGTCTTATTTTTTATTGTATCTGTGGGAATACGTACATGCAAGAAAAATACTTAAATGTGTTCCTTAACAGACCTCGTTAAGGTCAAGGTCAATGATAGGTGTTTACAGCAGGGCTGCATGTTGAAACTCAAGTATTTTTTTTTTATACATTATAAATCTACCTGTAATATCAAAAACCATCAATCAATCAAGTACCAAAAACATTGCATGATCATATTTGTCCCCTCTTAAGGCACACATCTGGTTTGGCAGGGTATATTTTGTAAGGTATCACAAGTTCTGGTTATATTTTTTTACTGTTAGTTATTGTTTTGTATTGTTATTGTTTAGGCGTCCCCAGCGCCCCCTGTGCAAAACCCCCCGAGAACAGGAGGTCGGCGGCGCAGAAACACAAGCGAAAACCCCGATGAGAAGCGGCGCAAGTTCCTGGAGCGAAACAGAGCCGCGGCCTCTCGCTGCCGGCAGAAGAGGAAAGTTTGGGTCCAGTCTCTGGAGAAGAAGTCTGATGACCTCAACTCCACCAACGGACAACTGCAGGTGCTCCTTACCCCCTCCCCTCAGCTTCTGTTATAGCAACAGCTCCTTCATCTGTCTTTCTCATGTGCTGTTATGCATCAATGTGTCAGTTTTTGTATGTTTTGCATGCTTGCGTTTGTCTGTTTATCAACATGTGCTGTTGGTGGAAGCGTGTGTTCGCAGACTTTTCCCTTCTGTGGTGATGAAGTCATTAAAGCCGATTAAGAAGAGCTGCCGTGTGACAGCAGCGGTGTGTGAGCCCTTTACATCGATATGTCCCTGTCAATAAAGATGTATCCTCCAGATGTCAGCCGCGCACAAGCGTGTCTTCGCTTCTGTCTCAGCAGTTTACTGAATGGCCTCAAAAATCTCCTAGGGAAAGGTGTCTTTTTGAACCTTCATTTTGCTGGAAGCAATTAGGATCTGATGCTGACAAGTTCGAAACAGTTCATGTATCTGCTGTCTCTGTTGATAAGTGTGAGCCGGGGGTGCGGCACATCGGTGTTCCAGACAATTAAATGAGATGTGGTGTTTATTTGCTCACTGTCTTATTTTTCTATGAAAGCAGATTTAGTTGTAGTGGGTGGAGGAGGGGATACATGACAATATAAAGACATTGGTTCATGTTGTTAATTAATATCTGTGTCAAAACATTTTTGATCACCAGTTGTCATGAGTGTGCTTTTTGAGATTACATTTGAATATATGCAGATGAAAAGGGTTAGGGTAAGTTTAGGTGTGTCAATAGAAGGGTTATAAACGGAGCATCGCTGTTAACAGGGAACAACATGTGGCAGGGAATAAAAGGGCGCTTTATATGAAGGCATTAATCAGCAGTGCAGTTTTTGTATAAAAGCCCATGCTGACATGGCCCAGCTGATCAGTGAAACTGCCTCTAATGATGCACAATTATTTTAACATCATCCTTAACTGGCTTTTTAATGAGGTGTCAGACCAGACCAGGCAGCTCACACAGCTCCCAGCATCACCCAAGGCCTTTTTCTATATTTTGATTATTTCACAAAGTTAGAAACCAGTTTTACAGCTTGGTTCTGTTTAAAACACCAGGTATGATGCAGTGTGACATACTGTACCTGTTGGTGTGCATGAATCGCAGCATTACTGGCACAGGTTCTATTTCATTTTCTGGGTGAATGTTTGTGAATGCATTTGTAAATCAAACAAACAGTTTATATTTTAACAAACTAATTGAACTACATACTTGTATGGATGTTACAATTTCTGACTTCTGTTTACAAGTCCGTCTTGCGTGCTTTCGCAGATTGGAGGGAGAGTTTTAAAGGATTGTGTTTTAAATTGGCCGTAAAAGGCTGCAGTTATGGTGGAAGAGCAGTGAATATGGCTTTGGCTTCATGTGATGCATACGCTCCTTCCAGCTGTGTTTTAAATCTGTCTTACAATAGCTCAGCCCTGCCAACACCAGCAAGACTAAACAGATGGAATCAAATAAATTGGCTGCTTTTAGACTAATAGATTAAGCCGCCCATAGTCCTTTAAAGGAGAAAAGAAGGAGCTTAAATCTGCCATGGGGTGTTCTGCGTGCCCCTGGCCGCTTTAAATCCAGTAAAAGTCACCTTCAGCGTAATGTGGCCCTCTTTTACGACATGCAGAAATCCTCAAGTCCCCTGAGAGCCGTAACGACACCAGAGTGTAAATCTCAGAAGCATCCACAAAGTTGCACTGACAATCCCAACAGCTCACCTCTGACTAATGTGCTGCTCGTAGCCAGTGAAGGCCCATAATTATTGTGCAGGAAAAAGAGTAAATGACTTAGAGCTTTACACTTTTCCTGTCTTTACCGTTTCTAGTACCGTTACCGCTTTTCTTGTCGTATTAAAGGATGAGATCCCATTAATTACTGGTAATGAAACCAATGGTGGATGAGAGTTACGGCTAATAGAGAGAAAACAATAAACGGACATTTGGTGTAAATACTGTTTTTACTGTGTGTGTGTGCAGATTTGGGTTCAGAAGAGATCTCGACGCATATATCAGATGGGGCTGATATTTACATTTTTAGCCATATCAGTTTTTGCTTAAAGTGGACCTATCATGCTATATTTGAAACATATATTGTAGGGCCATACCTATATAAAACATGTCTGTGAAGTTTGTTTTTCAAAATACCAAACAGATCATGCATTTTAGCCATGCCTCATTTCGCTCTATTTGCTCTTTTCCAGCCCTGTTTTTGCAAGGGCTGATTCTGCTTTTGTGGCAGACTACAGCGCCACTTACAGGCCTGGCATATGTACTACAGCGTCTCCAGCGCTTTCGAGCGGTCTCTCATTCCCCTGATAGGTGGAGAGTTGCCCATATAGGCGGAGCGCCCCTTTTCTGACGTCAGAAAAATTAAAATAATAATAATAATCAAATAGAGATTTGGGTATGGAGGAAAAGAGAGAGGGTTGTGTTTTCTGACACTTGCTGAGTTCCCTGACACACCGGCGACACATATTCATGTATAAAAGATGTACGAAAGTGCATTTTGCATGATAGGTCCCCTTTAAATGTGGGCCAAATAGTCATAAGAACAGTACTGAAATATAACAAATGTGTGTCATCATTACATAGATTGTCCACCACCGAGCATCAACATGTTTATTTTTTAACTATAAAAAAAGCAATTGCTCAGTTTAAGGTATCTTTTGGTCACAATTCTTTAAAAAAACTAACATAATTGATCTTTATCATCTCTGTTACATATGTTTAAGTGTGTTTATATAAAAATGGAGGGTACATTGTTATCAGATACTTAAACGTTTGAATATATTTATCAGTATCGGCCTCCAAAATGTAGTATGGGTTGGCCTCTGGTTCAAACTTAAGGTTCAAACTTTATAATGAAATGCTCCCAATCATATTTTAATTAACCATATTGGGACCTTTGTTGGAGTTTGGACAATCATTGCACAGATTTGAACTACCTGCACATGTCGTCCATTTGTCTCCATGTTGTAATCGGATATACTGTACGCTCCAGAGTGACCATTCTATTGCTGTTGTGTATTCTCCTCTCAAAGAGTGAAGTCACCCTGCTGAGAAACGAAGTGGCTCAGCTGAAGCAGCTTCTTCTGGCTCATAAAGATTGCCCTGTAACCGCCATGCAGAAGAAATCCGGCTATCACAGTGAGTAATGCTCCATTATTCTCAGCCCGAGGCTTCCTGTGAAACGCTTCTAAAATGAAGGACATGTCTTACTTATGGCCAAACAGAAAGAGCTATTGACTTATTAGATAAAAAGAAAAACTTTGCAGAAGTTAAGATATTAATGGGCAGAAGGGTTTCAGACAAATTTCTCGCTGCCGGCATTGTCCAAGTCTTTTGAAGAGGCCACAGGTGGTAACCACAAGAACTGTTTCCTCCTCATTTGACACAAAATAAACATTTGTCACATGCGGATAAATGTCTGCAGGACATATTGTCGGGTTGTCAGAATAAATAAGCCTGATCTGTGTTTCTCTAACTCCTACTGTGCATGTGTTAATTCAAATATAACTTCATACTACTTACATACGACAATCACAAATATTTAAACATAATTGTGCTGTTTGCAGCCTCTTCATTTAAATGTCTTGTCGTCAAGGCGCACAATGCGTCTCCTTGCCAGTTCTTGTTCATCACACGGTCTCATTTAGAATCAACAATATTTCTTCGTTTCCAAAGACTAGGCCTCTGTCATTCTGATTTTCCAGTCATAACTCACCTTCCCTCACAGATGAGCCAGTATGCAAGCCGCTTCTCCACTGTGATGTAAACCCCTCCGCTGACTTGTATTGACAATGATTGCCTCTGAAATGAGTCTATTAAAGCAGCAAGCTTGACAAGACTGCAGAGAGATTCTCATTGCGGGGTGTCCACCAAGCTAGGCTGTTCATTATGCATCCCTTATTGCTAACCATCCCACTGACACACGTCCTGTGCATTATGGGACTGATGGTTTGCAGGCTAGAGCCGGCTGTCAGAGCCAGGTCTCATTTGGTGTCGTCTGGATTGTTTTTTTCGAAAGATCCACAGATGAATTGGGTCATCTTTCTCATGTGTTGCCGAGGATGTCTGTCCCGTGTTTCTGGACCTTTGTGAAGGATGACATTTGGAGCACTTGTTACCCTGTTTGGGAAGATATAACCTCATCCAAATACCCCAGTTCATCAGTGTGGCTCACAGTGACAGATTTTAGACAAGCAATGAAGGAAAACCAACTAATGTGAAAGGAGGTATAAATATCTGGCAAAATGAATCCAGTGGCTTTTAATGTACCTACATCGACCTACCTATTGATTAGTTTCTGCTTTTTCAGCACTTATTTTATAGTTTCAGCTAATCATTTCCACTTTTTATCCACAACATCTAGCTATATATTTCATTTGCATCAACTACTGCTCCTTCAAGCAGTGAAATAGTTTGCAAAATTCTTGAATCCAAAAGTTTGAGCCAATTCCACCATTGCTTATATTTAACTTTTAAACATCATTAATTCATTAATTCATTACTTCGTCTGTAGCCATCTATTTTGAATATTTATCCATTACTTTACCTAAGCTTTTAGACGTCTACCTACATAATTTCATGTACTTTTGATCACATTACACATTACTGTACAGATGCTATAGCTGGTTGAATATGTTTTCAATTAAATCATGTATCCTTCCATATACCCCCTGGCAGTTGCATAAGTACACCCTGAGGCATGAGTACCCCTGGTTTGGAGTCACTGAAGAAATCGATCTTGCTAATTAGTGACTGACTGATCTGTGGCCCTCACATATGTAAAGGGCCTCATGAAGCCCTCCATTCTCTGGGTGTTACATATCCTGTTAGACTACACGGCCCCCCAGGTCTGGTAAAGACCCTTCATGGTTCTGCCCAGGTGGGAGGACATTACCCAGACTGCCCCGCAAACAAGCTAAGACAAGCTTACACTTGGCACGCAAAGCCGTCCATCTGCTTACAGCGAACCCCACTTCAGAAGCCAAGAGAGCAGAAAGAGGTTCTGGCTTCCCAGGAAACTAGATTTTTTGGAGTATTACGATACATCCAAAAGCCACCCCTTAATGTCATTAGGAGTAATAATGCACACTTGAACATGGAACAAAACCACCACGCTGATTTATTCTGAGGTTGACCTTCTGCATGGTAAAACAGCAAGGGAGTTTATAGTGCTTTGACATTCACTTGCACTAAATCACACGGTCAAAGTCCAGTCAGGAAGGCAGATGAAGCCTCTAATGTGAAGACATTTGTATTTGCACTTTAATTGCTTCCTCTTGCTCTGGAATCTGTATTTAACACTCTCAAATACGAAACCCCGGTCATTAATTACAAAGTGGCATAACAAGTGACTTCATATCATTAACAATATTAATTATCACTGTGCTCCTTATTCCTTTACGAAACAGAGCATGAGAGTAGTCTTTTTTTCCCATCAGGATCCAATTAATTCAATGCAACTGCCTAACAGCTGGTGGCATTTCAACTCCAAGTCTTCCCTACTCTCAAGTGTGTGCATCATTAAAATCAGGTGCTGTAATCATCTGTCGCTGCAGTAGTTGGCAAGGTAACAAAAAACAAATGAGAGAACAGTTAGGGATGGGAAACACTGCCACATGCCCCAGAATGTAATGTACCCTTATGATGTGGGTTTACATTGACATTGGAGCTTTAATTAAAGGAAGGGGTGCAGAAGTAGCATTATGGGGATTAATGAAACAGTTTGCACACACCACATGCAAATAGCTGTTTTACATCTGATTAGGCCTACGTGCCAAAGCTTTCCCCAGCCTTTCTAGATGATATGCTGTAATGTAAGAACATCATAACATTATAATGTTACAAGTTTATTGTTCAGTGGTTATTCTCTCATCTTTTCCAACACAGTCTCGGATAAGGACGAGAGCTGCGAGGAGATGTCCGTCCCCAGCAGCCCCCAGAACGAAGCCATCCAGCACAGCTCCGTCAGCACCTCCAACGGGGTCAGCTCCTCCTCCACGACCCCGTTCGTCTCCACCGCGTCCAACCAGAGCACAGAGGAGACCCAGCCTTCAGGGAGCTGATCGCCGCAAACCGTGCCCGAGCGTCAAACCGTGCCCGAGCGTCAAACCTGGAGCCTCTTTTAATCCCTGCGACAAACAGAGGGATTCTCTTCAGTTTTAAGTGTGGTGTTTTTCATTGATTAAGATTGCATTGTTTTTGTTTGGTCCATTTTGTCCTCCTTTCGCAATGCTTTTTGAAAATGCAAATGTTTTCTCTGGAATTGATGAAGACAAAAGAACAGGCACTTTAGGTGTAGATGTAAAACACGTGGTTCTAAAATGATTTTGTACTTGTGTGATTTATTTATTTATCTTATGTTTGTATTTATTTATAAGCGATCAGCCTTAAAGTTTGATCAGTGAATTGTTAGAGACCTTACCAAAGTATGTTGTGTGGGTCATTTGTAATTAGTTTGCTTGTTTGTTTTCATGACTTTTGTAAGCACTATCTTTATGATGAAGTTACATAAAGATGAGTCACCTTTTTTCGTAATTTGCTTTTTCAATTTTGCACATTTTGAGAGATAATTGGTGACCTTTTTAGAGATTGACAGCCCACATGTTATTAAGTACAGGCAGCTTTTTAGAAGTAGATTTGAATACTGTCACATTACACACATGTAAATGCCTGAATCAGATTTAAGATTTGACAACTCTTCTGTGAGTGAGATCAGATGTAGTCACATTGTGCTGTTTGAATGTTTGCGCTCACCTCTGCTTGTAGAAATAGTGTTGAGGAGGTGAGCCGGTTAGAAACTTGTTATTTCATTAACATTCCACGTGTTGTCTGATTGTTCCTGAAGCAGTGATTGTAGGATTGCAGTACCTTTTCCATTACTCAATCTTTGTGATGTTGACATTCAGTGCCATTGACTTCATTCCGTGCCATTAATGTTTTTGTATCTTCTGTACATTTGTAATGCAGATTAGCTCAAACTGTTAACAGATTAAGGGTCTCGTGAACATCTTAGTAAGGAAATATCTTGCTTTGTATCTTTGCTTTGTTTACGGCTTCAACACAGAACACAAGATGTTGTTTTCATGATTGCAATTTTTTGACATTTTTAGAAAACATTGTAAATAACATCAATGATACATTGTGTGTGATCTTTTTAGGTGTTATGTACTTTTTGTAGAATAGTCTGGGGACAGAGCTGAGCCCTGTTGACCACATGAACTCTGTTAGACGTAGATCTTAACAATGTTTAAATCATTAAGATGACTCGACTTCTCATGTAAAATAAAGCGTTCAGATTTGAACTGGAAACACATAATATATATTAGAGTAACACTACTACCGCCTGTAAGAATTGTGAGCATTTCATCATTGAAATAATAGTAAGAAGAAAGTCACACCATGAAGTCAATTTGCCTTTTTTCTTAGTCTGTCCTAGCTTACTACTGTGTAGTTTTAAGAAAAGCTAAAAAAAAAAATGCTTTTCTTAATGTATGAATCGTTTTTATTTTCACTGTTTTGTGCTATTTGCATGAGATAATAATTCTCCGCGAGAATGTAATTGTTTTAATCGATAATGTCGGATAAAAAATATAATTAAACAAGTTGTTTCAACTTGAGTTGTGACTCTAAGTTTATGAAAGCTTTGGTTTGTTTTACCTCAGCGTTACTGCTAAAACAGGAGTGTGATACTGTGTTGAAAGTGTACTTGTAACTTGTGAAAGTTCTGTATAAAACATTTGAATTGATAAGTTGTTGTAATAAACCTTTTAATATCTCTTTAAAATCCAGTTTTGCTTCAATGTATTGCTCCAGATGGAAAGAAACTCTGAATATGTGATTGGGCTAACAACATTAATGGCTGTTCATTGGGTTTCTAACAATAAGATTATTTTTTTATTTTTTTTTATTTTTTTTATTTTTTTTAGCCTTTATTTATACAGGTGTAAAATCTCATTGAGACACAAGGTCTCATTTTCAAGAGAGACCTGTCAGTGGTAACACTACCACACAAAGTAATAATAATGTAGAAGACAATCCTCCCCACATGCTTTACCAGCTGTTACAATGGGACAATGTCTTATTGCTTTCATTCAAAACCAGTGTATTGATTTCAACCTGGCTGCTGCATGTTGTCAAAACTGTAAAGGGATGAACACAAAAAATCTTGTGGTGTATTCTGCCACCTTGTGGATGATCTAGAGTTATCCATATTTTTGATAACATATCATTACTAGCCATAAGTCAACTGGATATACTGAATATTTATGTTTTTCCTAATAGTTCTCCTGCTTTCAAAGGTACTTAAATACACACACTTAAGTACAACAATATGATCAGCACAATGTATCTCATTTACACTGAAAATAGGCTAATGGTGGAGCTAATATTTTACAACTTCAAATACTGTTTGATAGTTTTAATCAATAACTAAAAGAAAGACACAAAAGCCAAATGCATTAACTGGCTATAATAACAAAAGTAAGGAATAATTGTGCTGACAAAAAACAAACAAACTGAAAACATAACCTTCTAAAAAATATGCCTTGAATAGTGACTATAGCTTTCAAATAAATGTTGAGTAAATTGTAATTGCATGGATGCAATGGATGCAATTATTTGGACCGGCCAAAATACTTGTTTATCACTTTCACATATTTTCATTTAATGATAAAAAAACTTAGATTTTGATTTGTTTTGGTTGCTAAATCAAGGTTGGAATGACCTATTCATATTTTGTGCTGCTCTATAAAGACAATAGGCTACATGTTTTCCTCTTCTGATCCATTATTTTTAAATGATATAGATGATCTCTTATTTGTATATTGCCTTGTATATCTTGTCTTCAGGCCCTATGCTTTTATGTAAAACACTTTGTAATGTCTTGTTTACGAAAGGCGCTATACAAACCAACTTGCCTCACTGAACCAACACTGAGCTGCCATTTCAGCCATTTAAAGCAAGCAAAGCTGGTGATGCTGACGTTTCCAGGATATAAGCATGTTCCTAATAATTACAGCAGTAAACAGGTATAGGCAACACATTCACTGCTGAACTGGAACAACACTCCTTCCTGTCATTATGGAAATTAGCTGAGTTCCGTATGGGATGACGCAGGCTAAAATGAACTGAAGATTGTCAACATTGACAGTGTTGCTAAGAGTGACCTGTTACTGTTCCTGCAATTGTGTGTGTGTGTGAGAGAGAGAGAGAGAGAGAGAGGAGAGGAGAGAGAGAGAGAGGACGAGAGAGAGAGAGAGAGGAGAGAGAGAGAGAGAGAGAGAGAGAGAGAGAGAGAGAGAGAGAGAGGAGAGAGAGAGAGAGAGAGAGAGAGAGAGAGAGAGAGAGCGAGCACGTGTTACCGGGGTTTGTTTTTGTTAGCATTTGGTGCTAGCTAGCGGCTCTAACCGCTGTGAGAAGCTGTTTCTACAACAAGGTGGAGGAAGAGTTCTCTCCTGTCTGACTGAGAGGCTCAGATAACTACAGCTCAGGTGAGGTAAAGGACTTTATTTTACTTTAAACTTTCAGCTAAAATCTTGGTCTGAGGAGCCAATGAGCTTAATTTACACAAACAACCTGCATCCGTCATTCTCAAATTACAGTCTCAATGTGTATTTAGTCAAACTCACATATGGAGCTGCTTCAATATCTCCCTTTGACAGTAGGAGGAAGACTGAAATACCTATACTCTTCACTGCTTCTATTTTAGTGTTACATTACTTATTGTCTTTCACGGAGAAGTTGCATCAACTGCACATCATGGTATTCAAGTGTAAGGATTGTGTTTAAATTGAGTATATAAACTGCAAAAATAAAAAGCAGTAGGCCTACAAATCAAAGCAGAAGGATTGTTTTTTTCTATGAAAAAATGCATGCAGCTCAAATTATTAGAAAAACTAGTGTTTGCACAACCAGCATTCATTTACTATGAAAATGTTTCGACCTTGATTGTGTGTGATATTTGCTCACATAATGAAGCAAACGATCCCTGAGCAAATTATGATCTGCATGATGCACAGCTGAAGGTTTCCCTGATGTCTCCACCAGCAACGGCTCTGAGTGTCCAGCAGGTGGCAACACATCCAAACTAATACCCCAAATGCAAATGGATGAATGTATCTGCTTTTCATGGAAACATTATTCAGATTACAGCTAGGAGAACTCACCGAGATGTAAACAAAAAAGCCTCTCAAAAGATCTGAGAGCTGTTTGAATGTTTTACTTATTCATGTTGTTTCATTTATATTTGAGACTATGTTAAGTTAAGAAAATAATCAATTTTCTCTCATTAAGTGTTTTGTCCTGTTTACAGAGACACAATTGTGCCTCCAAACACACTGAGGCTCCCTCACAGTGTTAAAGTGGGGCAGCCTTGATTAGCTGCTGATCACAGAGGGGAGAAATGTAAATGTTACTATGTAGGTCACAGCCTTTACGAATAACAACACTTTTGGCTCGATGCTGCATATTTACAGAAATGAACCAGAATCATGCGACAGTACAGATCTGCATCTTTGAAGTTAAATCAAAGGGGAGAGAAAAACAAAGTCAAATCTTATTTTTCCTTTCTTTCTCACATGCAGAAAATAATTAATCTGGATTGTGTGATTAATTAAAATCCCCCTGGCAAACAGCTCTGCCTTATTCATTATTCATCCTGTAATGATTTTAATGTTAATTTGATGAGGTTTCCCATTAATGAATGCATGTGTGGAGGTATCACCATTTTCTAGCTACAGCAGCATGAAGAGAAGCGTATATCAGTGTCCTGTGTGGTGACAAAAACACACATTGTGAAATAAACAGCATCATCACTGAACAGCAGCAACAGTCTCCATATTTCTCTAAATTACGAGCCACACATGGATGCGAAGCCATACCATACGGCAAAGCCTAATTGGGAAAGGCAACAGGAATAAAGATGGCCTCTGTACTGGTTGGGAGTCTCTCTGTGTTTCCCTCTCGATAAATGAGCAGGATAATAATGTGGAGCCGATCTGCTGACAGGCAGGCGGCTCCAGCTGTTCCCATAATTCGACAGGTATTACGCTTTGGCCCTTAGCAGACTGGCACTTAATTAGGCAAGGATTAAGGCCAAACAGCCTCATTTACGTGAAATGTATCACAAATACAAACAGGCTGCCCTTTCTCCTTCAGGGGGCATCAGGGGTTACATTTGAAAAACGCAGAGGTTTGCTCAAAAGAAGATGCTCCAGGCTTTAAACTCCAGATTTCTCAACAATGAAGACTCTTTCCCCCTGCTGAGGGGTGCTGTTTTGGAGCACACGCTCTTAACCCCTCAAATCCAGGGAGACAGAGATGAAACAGCTTGATTTACATTTAATTCAGATTATGCAAATACATTGGTCACGTCCCAAACCAAACACGGGACACAATGCAAGCTGCCTGCAGCACCCAGCAAAGATGGCCTCTATTGTTATTCAAATTCAAGGAATAAAGTATTGCTTTCATACATGGGCTGGGCATTTAATTGAACTCCTGATGAGATATAATATGTTCTCTCTACAAATATTGATAACCACTCATTATTTTCACTTGGCAAAATCCACACACTATCATGTGGAGTCTGTTTGCTTTCGCTCTTGATTGGAGGGCGATGGGCACGGCATCTGGCTCTGCCACCCGGGATGTGCATGTGTTTAATAGTATTATAACGGAGTATCAGCTCAGCTATCACTGAGTGCAAGGGTGGAGACAAATCCCCAGTGGGCATGTGCACGTGCATCGAGTGAGCTCTACTCTGCCAATCCCTCCCCTGGGCTTCCCTGGTGGCACCGTGATCTCCTCCATTAGCCTGCGCTGACATTAGCATTCATGAGGTCTATTCATGGCAGTAGGCCTTTGACTATATGTGCATACTGTATGTTGGTCTCCTACTCAATTCTGTTTCCCATGTGAGTTTGCTTATTTGGTTATCAATATTTAATAGTGGTTAAATTGGCTTTCTATGCTGCCATTGACGGGTTATGAAACAACACTTCAAGCAAGCAGCACCCTAAGTCTGAAGTTTCTATCATTTGTAGTCATTTTAGCATTGTTTGTGTCATTTTGCATTTCTTCGTCGTCTTTTTTAGTAATGTTGCATTTCATTGTAGTTGTACATGCATCTCTTTGCAGCTGCTTGTGATCCCTGGCATCTTTGTGGCCGTTGTGTGTATTGTTTTTGTCTCTTTCCGGGACAGTGTTCAGTCATTTACGTATGTTGTACACTGATGATACATTGCTTTACCTTCTGGTAAAACAAGGCAGAAGAGCTCGGCCAGGTTCATCTGGTCATTATTTAATGTTTGCTATGGTGGGAGAAGATGTTTTTAGATCCTAAGAAGAGAAAGGATCTGAATGCTTTTATAACTACTGAAATATTGCATTATTAAAATAGTCATTTAGACCTCCTTTAGTTCTTGCAATGCATCATTCATCGAAAAATGTAGTCGTGAAAGTATAGGGTAAAACAGGACATCTATCTAGTTACTTTAATCCCACTAATTGTAAGACGTCTCAATATAAATATGCAACTTAACATTAGTATATCTGAAATTTAAAACACATCTTATATCACTCAAAATGGAATAACATTAATTTAATGTTCTTTTTTCCATTAACTTGCCAGCTTTAGCAGGTATTGTGTTGTCTAATCATTAAGAAGAAGGATGCATGTTTTTCTTCACCACAACTACTACCCTTACAGAGGCCTCTGGTAAGTGACTATAAAAATGATTGATAACTTCCAGAGTCGTAAACGTCCCGACCCAGGCTGTTATCTTC